CAGTTCAATGTAATCAGTAATGGTAGCATTACCATAATCTCTGAAGAACCATGGAAGACCAGTACCAGTACAACAAGGAGCTTCTAATGAAGGACAGTTATTCCCATCCCACAATGTATCATCAGTGTATACTACTTGAGAAGGAGCAATGTTTGTACCTGACTCACAATAGTAGTGCTCTCCTACAAATGATGGAACTGTACTAGTTGCTCCAGTATTACAAGGACAGGTAGAACCTGTATTGGTATTTGACTGATGACCAGCTATATAAGACCAGACATGTTGACGAGGTGACCCACGTGTGATACTGACTCCATCAATATAAGCATCATTGATATTGTTGATGTTAGTGTAAACAGCATCAGGTGTTCCCTTTTGATATCCAACCACTTTACCACATATTTGACTATAACTGATACCATTTGTTTGGAATATGTTAGACCTACAGCCAGCAGAATTGCCCTCTCTCCTACAAAGTCTAATGCCTCCAGTCATGAATTCCTGAAGTCCAGAAGGACAGTTCATAGTCATGTCAAGATAAGCTATCCTTGTCCATCCTCCATCTTGTCCACACAGCTCTCCCATATTGCAGTATATATTGCGACTGGTAACATAATAGTAACCAGAAGGACTGTTAAGATGAGCTGTTTTAATATCTTTACAAGAAACAGTTTGAGTAGATGATCCATTCTGTATCTCTAGTAATTCATTGACTATTAGTAGTACATCATTAACAGCAGCAGCAGTTGGTATACTGATATCTTTAATAAGACTAGTGTTCAGTAATTGAAGTAGTTCATCTGTAGACCTGTTGGTATTATTAGCATGTACCATAATCTGTTGAATCATGCTATTCATTGTATCCTGTATCAGTGACATGCCACTGTTAATAGCAGTATTACCACTATTTGTGAAGGTATCTTTTGATATTAAGTTAAGTACAAGTATAGCTACCAATAGGAATATTATGATCACCAGTAGAATTATTATTGCAGCAAATGACTTCTTTCCTACAGTATACTGCACTGGTTGTTGAGGAAGTTTGGTATCCTTAAAATTAGCTTTTGGTAGCTGATAATCTAATGAATATATCATACATTAGTTTTAATAATAAATTACTTGTATGGTATATACCTGAGTAGTCATGAAGATCGGAGTACATTGCTTCTTCAGTACTAGTATCAGTCTTTACTACTGGTTGATAGGCTGTGTTTTGTGTTAGTGTGAAATCCTCAGCTTCTCTTGTTGACATTGTCTTGTTTTCCATCTCTTCACTAGCACTGCTTATAGTTATCTAAAGCTCT